CGACTCAATACAGTATGATTCAATACACTTTATTAAAGAGTAAGAAAAATATCCTATTTTATTAAAGACCCCTTCCATTTGATCAAACACTACATTCCAAAAAAAAAAAAGATTTCATTTCTTAAAAGAAAGACCCCAATATATTTAGAGCCACATTTCATCAAAGATCTCAAACATTTTCATTAAAAACTATAATCCATTGTAAACAAATTTTTATAATACCAGTCATAACAGCCTCTTAGCATAGCAATCTCAAATGTTAATTAATTTCTAATTGCCATCATTGCGATAATGTAAAATCGATGATAATCAAGAATTATAAAAAGAAGATGCGCATGTTTAAACAATAAAGAAAAGGTATGTGAACCATAATTATCAACCTAATTTTACCACAATGGAGAGATAGAGTAATTATGTTAATTTACGTTAGTAATGCCATGGATGGAATGAATATATAACGAGAAATAAATATCACATACATATATGCATATATCTGCATATTAAACCATTTCTCCATTATCTATATTAATATTCTCTTCATCCCCATATCTTCCTCCTTATTGATTATGGGAAGCTTTAATATTGTGTAACAAAGTATTTATTATTATATTAGCAGAGTATTATTTTTATGTTTTTATTTCGCTATACTCTTTACACTTCCCTCTTTTGCTTATCTTTTGTTTATCACTCATAGTTTGTTCTTGCCTGAAATAAATAGTTGTCTCATTCGAGAATGAAGATCGCGGGAGAGACCTTTAGACCATAGGTGCTGTGATCTACATTTTCAGAGACTGGACTCCAGGGATTCCACCGCAGTGATAAAGCCAAGAGTTCCCTCGATGATAACGATGTCCCTATAGACGATACGACGACAAAGCCGCTCTTCACCCGCAAGAAAAAGAACGCAAAGGTACTAGGGACAAAGTTACAAGATTCGATGGAATCCTTGGCAGAAGCACGTCAGATCCATGTCAATATCTACCATATTAGCTAGCTGTGGGTCACAGCTCCCCATAGGGAAGGAGCTATGTAACCAAAGTAATCATTATTTTATCAGCAGATTATTATTATGTTCATACAGGCACACTTTGTGAAAGTTGACTTTGCCTGTAGTTTGAGGCTAGTTCTAACATGGAAGTCTTTGCTGCCAACTTTAACATGAGTACAGATGCAGCAGCTCCTCTGTATCCCTTGAGTGGGACCCTTGCTGAGGTCTATCAACCGGGTCAGTTGAACTCTGGGTTTTTAAAGAGGTCTTTCTTCTAACAAATTCTCTGTTTGGTTCGCGACTGCTTATTTGTCAGAGTTATTCTGCTTGTTTAAACAGCTGGCCTTCATTATCTGAAGGTCGTTCCCCTATCCACCACCTGGGGACGCGCCCTGTAGCAGTCAGCTCTGCCGAAGGTGTATAATTGGTAAATATATATTATATTAAGAAAAAGGCATTTCCTTATCGTGCAAATGAAAGTTGCTGATGGCTTGCGCTATCTATCGGAATAAATATCAACTATTCTCGTTGATTTTTAATTATTCCAGAATTGACCAAATACCCATTCTTAATTAATCAAGAAAAGCTAACCATGGACGCCTTTCGGGCTGTGTGCACAGTTTACACCACGCTGATAAGGGCCAACAGCCTGAAACGCGTCCGTGGTTAGCTTTTCTTGATAAATTAAGAATGGGTATTTGGTCAATTCTGTAATAATTAAAATCAACGAGACTAGTTGAATTTATTCCGATAGATGCGCAAGCCATCATCACTTTCAGTTACACGATAAGGAGATGCCTTTTTATTAATTTATGTATCTAATCCCAGTACAATATCACATTTGTACTATTTTTTCACAAATCTTTTATATGTTGATTTATAAAGAAAGAGAGAGTTAGAGAATAAACTTATATAAATCATATATGTAGTTTCAGGAGGTAACATATATTATATTAAGAGAAGTTAATAGAAGTATCAAACACTGAGGTCAACGTATTTGTTCTTTTACTGAGTTGATGAATATCAGTAAAGTTTAGTTTTATATATGTTGTAAGAAATAATTATTTTTTATTCATTTATATTTTTATTTCATTCCTTCATATATCTTCAAAAGGGGATCGGTGGAAAAATGGTCTAAAGCCGTTGATTTTCCCGTTCGATTCCCGATTTGGGCACTTTTTTTCTGATTAAAAAAATAGTCCAATGGCCCCCGATTCTTGCAAAAGTCCAAACCCAATAGCGAGTGCAAGTAACCAAACGGGGCACTGGCACATTTGTAAATGCAAAGTCGAACTGCTTTTCACATTTGTAGACATGTGGTGCACTTACATTAGAAGCAGTCGCCAATTTCTACCCACCATGATTATCATGGCCTGTACCACGTGTACTAGGGATAAGCAAAAAAAAAAAACATATCTTCAAGACATGTAGATATCAAAGGTGGTACCTCTCCCTTTTTTTATTCATTATCATTATTATTAAATTAGCAAAACCGCTGGGAGGGTTCACCACTGATGAACCAAGCCTCTTAATATCTTTTTACATCGCAGTAAGGACAGTAGAAGTTTGATTTATTTGTGAAAAGAAACATTCCGGTCTTAATCTTTTCATTTGTATTATATATATGGCACGTGTTTGCTTTGTAACTCTATAATTTCTACAGATCAATTGTAAATAGATTCATACACAAAAGAGGTAGTAAGGAAAGTTTTAGAACAGATATGTAAATTAACACAAAGCAATAACGCGCCATCTATACATATAAAATAAAATGATTTAAAAGCGCGAATGTTTCTTTTATACATAATACAAACTTCTACTGTCCTTACTGCGATGAAAAATATATTGGGAGAGCTTGGCTCATCAGTGGTGAACCCTCCCAGAGGTTTCGCCAATTTAATCCACCAGACCGCTTCTCAGAGCTCTAATACTGTATTGGATCATTCTGCTTTTATATGCTACACTGAAGGATGGAATCTCAGAAATGGTTTTCAAGTAAACTATGGACAAATTCTACTGTCCTATAAGCTTATGTCCATAGTTTACTTGAAACCCATTTCTAAGATTCCATCCTTCAGTGTAGCATATAGAAAAAGATGATCCAATACAGTATTAGAGCTCTGAGAAGCGGTCTGGTGGATTAGATTGGCGAAACCGCTGGGAGGGTTCACCACTGATGAGCCAAGCCCTCCAAATATATTTTTTCATCGCAGTAAGGACAGTAGAAGTTCGTTTTATGTATAAAAGAAACATTCGCGCTTTTAAATCCTTTTATTTTATAGATATGTAAATAAATCCCTTTTCAAAACAAAGGCTCACGTGCTCATGGGGAAGGAAGAAAAATTACTGTATTATTTTGTTGTGTATGGCGAATCCATACAGGGAAATTGGCCCTAATAAAAGCCTTTTTGTTGTTGTTTCCACCATCTGGTGGAACAGAAATCAACTAAACATTGATTTAGCCTGTTCCCTGATATTTGGCCAACCCAATTTGTTGATAAATCAAGAAAAGCCATCCACTAACAGCGTTTCGCGCTGTTGGCGCTCGTCAGAGTGGAGTAGGCTGTACCACTACGACTTAAATGAATTTTGACCCAAGAGGCTTCTGAGAAACCAAGAATTAGGTATTTAAGCTAAAAACCTGCGCAAATACGCTTAACACATGAAAAAAATAGAAACGCGTTCGTGGATGGCTTTTCTTGATTTATCAAGAAATTGGGTTGGCCAAATTTCACGAAGCAAGTTAAATAAACGTTTTGTTTATTTTTGGTCCACTAGATGGCGCTCTGCCATCTAAAAAGCACATGTTCTCGTGGTTAGGATATGCGTTCGTTTATTTTTAATATCAACACCTGACCCACTTATCTTTTTTTTCTTTTGTTTTTTCATGTGTTAAGCGTATTTACGCCAATTTGGCCTTAAATACCCATTTCTTGGTTTCTCAAAATAAAAAAAAAACTTTTCTATAATAAATATGTCTCTTTTATAATATCATTTTAAGGTTGGAATCTATACCTTTTATAATGGAATCTTCAAATAATTAGTAACATTTGTAGGGAATTTTACAAATGGTAAATAAATCTAGAAAGAGAAAAAGTAATAAAAAACGGTTGGTATACAGAGCTCAAAATTCCAGAGAAGATAAAACTAACCTCTATAAATTTTAAAGACATAAAATTGATGGGAAGGAAATAATTGCCTGGAAACACGCGGAATAATCTCTCGAATGGCGTGTTTTACAGAATATCCTAGCAGACGATAGGTATTTCAACATAATATATAGCACAACGTTTAAAATAACTTTAAAAAATTTTATCTAAAATATCTTTAAACAAATATTTAATATTTTAAATATATTATTTAGATAAAATAATAGTATTTAAAATTTAAAATGTCGCAATATTTTTCCTTCTGCCTGATTGGATTTGATATTTAGAATTTAGGTATAGACATGGCTTCGATTAATACACTATTTTGAAATATATATATATACTAGCAGATGTGTACCCGGCTTCGCCCGGGTTTTATCCGAGTGAAAGTTTGCCTAACGAATATTATATATTATGAAGTATAATAAACAATGCTAAAGATTAGTTTTAATTATTTAATCAAGATTGTGTGTGAATATGTGAGAAAGATGTAATATCGTTGTTGTTTTCTTGGCCGACTGTTTTACATATGGTGTTATCTTAAAATTGCTTGTTTTGAATATTTTTTTAGATTGAGTTGAATGAATTGCTGATTTTTTTTTTTTTTGTATTTATATATAAATAAAATTAACTCTGTGAATTTTTTGTATTTTATCGATAACAGCAAAGTTATGTATTTTAAAGTTAGGAAAAATATTTTGATGTTAAGCAAAACCTGCTCCATCTCGTTTTACATAAATGTTGAAAATTTGGTCGAAATTGATGAATTGTAACGAAAGTTTTCAGTGAACACCACTTATGAAATTTCCATTTATATAGAAGATATATAATATAAATGAGTTTTAAAAATTGTAAAAAAAAAATGCATCGGCCGGGAATCGAACCCGCGGGCGCGTGGCAGGCGAGCATTCTACCACTGAACCACCGATGCTTTAAAAAAATCAAATTCATTTATCGTCGCGACCAGTGCTGCGCCCCTAGCGGTTATAAAGGACTGGAACTAA